GAACAGTGTTTAGTTTCAAAATTACTTGGTTCAGGGATCTGCTTCTCACTTCAAGCCTTATATTTATTACTTTTTATGTGTTTTAACTATCACTTATGAAGAAAGTTGTCTTGAAGTCTTTTACTGTTAGATCTGTCAGTTTCTCCCTTGATTTAACAGTTGTCTTCCTTTGTAAGATATGAGGTTATGTTGTTAGTATATATACATTTGTAATAGCTGCCTGGTCCTGGCGAATGAAGGCTTTTATCATTATCCCAAAAGAGGATTTTACTTTGGCCTGAAATTTCTTTCTCTGTCTTTTACTTTCAAATTTTCTGTATCCTTCGGTCTTAGGCTTATCTCCTGAAACTAATATATATCTGCATTGTTCTTTTTATTCACCCGACAGTTTCTTTTAATTGGTGAGTCTGCGATTGTGACCTATTTCTAAAATCCTATTTTGTGCTTTACAAATGCCCTCATTATTTTGCTCTCTTTTTACTTTTTAAAAGGTAGACTTGATTTTTGTTTGGTTTTCTTTTCGCTCTTTTTTACTGCTTTTCTTGAAATCTCATTCCGTATATTTAACACTGCAGGTAATCGAGTTTAAAGTTAACTGACCACTGCCACAACTGCAGAGCACCTAGAGTTTTAAGTCTTGTAAACTCTCCAGCCTACACGCGTCACTGTCCAGTCGTTCAGTTCTTTATTTCTAAAACCCTGTAATAGGCAGCCCATCGGCCCCCATACCTTCGAACCCTGGTGTTGTCCCCATGAGATGATGGTGTCCCAGGGTAAAGGGGGCTTTGCAGATTTAATTAGCTTTCTAATCATCCGATCTTGAAATAGGGAGATCAGGCCTAACCCGGTCATATAAACCCATCGCTGGGTGGTAGGGGGTACACGTTATACCCAGCTTTATTACAAGCTATTAAGGAGGTTTTCCACATGATTGTGTTAACCTATATTGCATGAGAAGTTTAGTTGCTCCCATCCTTTCCAGATATTTCTTTTCGGGTGAGAGGGCAGTGGAATGCACTTGTGGTTTTCGTCTGCATCTCCTGATGACTAGTGATGACTTTCTTTTCTATATTTTCTTACTGCACATTTTGATAAACTCTTCTGCGAAGCACCTGGTCCAGTCTTTTGCTCACCTTCTTCAACGGGTTGCTTGTCTTTTAAAAATTGATTCCTAGGGTTTCCTTAGATATTTTGGAAGTAGTATTTTATGAGATTCTGTTTGAAAGAGAAACTTGGTGGAGGAAAGAAGCTGTGAGTCAGATGGAAAATGTTTCGCTTCGTGGTCTGTATCCACGAAGGCTCAGGCCACGTGTGAAGCAGCGTTGCCTGCAGTGACTGGTCACCCATTTCTGTCAGACTAGACAGCCGATCCTGAGAGCCAGAACCTGTGACAGTGTAGGTGATGGGACCAAGTGACATCCCAGAACTGAAGGGTGAGTGGGCACAGTGTCGGTGTTAAAATTGCTGCAGTTATACGTTGCCTACTTATATTGCCCAGTTGTTTTCCATTTGTGAATGGTACTTCCTGAAGGTTTTTTATGTGCCTGTTAAATTTAGGAGAGTCCTGAAAATTCATGCCCCTAATGAACAGGATTCAATCAGTGCATGTTTTCAACCTGATAATTAAAAGACTTCTAAAAGTAGAGGCTAATTGAATTTCAGTTACTTCTCTTTCTGTATCAACAGCAAGATTTTAGAAACTTAAAAATGATAGCTATAATATGCTCAAATATTTCACCCTAGCATGATATTAATTATCTTGTAAGTAGGTTAATTGTAGATTCCATTGCAGGCCTCCTGTGGAGATATGCTTCTGTTTGATGTTTGGAGCTGGTAGAATAGATGTAGTTCAAAGATCCACCGTGGTATTTGAGCGATTTTTGACTCTCTTAAATTCACAGGAGTTTGAAATAAAACTTTGTCTATAGGGATAGATTCCTTGGAAGCACAAGAGAGATTTTTTATCTTCATATTATAGTACCTGGGAAATTATTTTGGGGGTTCTTGTCTATTTTGTATCAGGCAAAGCATGTACCACTTCCCTGTCTGCGTTCTCCATCTAAATATGTAATTTATCCCAAATATAATGCCACATACAAGGTTAGGGGGTCACAGGCAGAGACCCCCCACTGTTAAGTCTCCACGGGCCCCTGGATCCACGAACTCAAAGGCCCTGGTCCGGAGGACGGGCCTGGTGCAGGTAGCCTGCTGAGAGCATCAGCAGTGAGCATCCTCTTCTCCCAAGTGCTTCAACCGAAGGTGGCCCAGCCGGGAGGGGGTGTGTGTGGAGTGTTGACAGGACACCCCGGTGACTTTTCTAAAGCCCCATGTCCATCATCACAGTGGAAACCACGCACGCTTAATGACTGGTTATGTCATAAGCACAGGTACGAGCCCATTTAGGAACGTGAGCCCTAAAGGGTGTGACTAACGCTCAAACCGATTTATTACAGTTACACATTTTATGATGTTGTTTATGATGGACGATTTGGCTGGCAAGAATCCTAAATGTTGGCACATCACCTTCAGTACCAGAGACAAACAACATGTTTCCAAAGGCCTTGGTCATGATTCCATCTCATCCTCGTTCTAGCTTTGGAAAGAGTGGCAGCCTCCTGAGTCTCAGTTTCCTCATCAGTGAAGTCAAGATAATTAACTCAGCACTAGAGTGGATGCTACATAATGTGCTGCATTATACCTTAGTATAAAACTAACGCATCCAACATTTTTCTTGGTAATGGTGGTTAATTCATCTTTTTAACTGTGACAAAATAGTAGGAAATTAAATACCTTGTGTGCCGTTTAGCCAACACCACACAAAAAATGTTTCATAGAAAACCAGCCCTAGGGCTTCCCTGGTGGCACAGTGGTTGAGAATCCGCCTGCCAGTGCAGGGGACCCGGGTTCGAGCCCTCGTCCAGGAAGATCCCACATGCCGCAGAGCAACTAAACCCATGCGCCACAACTACTGAGCCTGTGCTCTAGAGCCCGTGAGCCACAACTGCTGAGCTCGTGAGCCACAACTGCTGAGCCCGTGAGCCACAACCACTGAAGCCTGCACTCTAGAGCCCACGAGCCAGTTACTGAATCCCGTGCACCTAGAGCCTGTGCTCCACAACAAGAGAAGCCACTGCAATGAGAGGCCCATGCACTGCAACGAAGAGTAGCCCCTGCTTGCCGCAACTACAGAAAGCCCACATGCAGTAACGAAGACCCAATGCAGCCAAGAAAATAAATTATTACAAAAGAAGAAAAGAAAACCAACCCCAAACTCAGTGGCTTAAGACAAAAATCACCTTTTAGTCATCAATCTGAGGGTTGTCTGGAGTCTGGCTGGTCTAGTTTGGGCTCAGGGGGGAGATGCAGGGGTCCCCTACCTGTCTCTCATCTCCCGTGGTGAGTGAACACGTTCTCGTGGGGATGGCAGTGGTGCCAGAGATGTCAGCCAGATCGAGCCAGAGTTTTTAAAATTTCTGCTCACGTTACATCTGCTCACATCCTTTTGGCTGAAACAGGTCCCAGGGCTAAAGCACAGCGTGGGGAAACGTGCGCCTGTCAGGGAGTAGGGCTGGGCAGTGAAAAGGCTTCCTAAATTGAGTCATTAATGCAATTTACCAGGACCACCCGTTTCACATTGTTTATCATCGAATTGAACGAGGGCAAGAGAGACATTTTTAATAACAAAAGATATTAGATAAAGAAGAGAAGTCACCAGGTGAGGTTTGGTGCGAGGCCCACAAACCAGCGCGAGATTGTGGGGAGAACCAGGGGCCCCGTCGGGTCGTAGCCCCACCCTGCTCCGTCTGCAGCCTCAGCCGCGGGGCCCTGCCTTGTACCACTGCGGACGCTGGGAAGGACGGTGCGTCCTAGCTTAGACTGTGGAGTCGGGCGTCAAGCAGCCGCACTGGCTGTGAGCATCACCCGCGTCTGCTAGCGGGACCGCCCTGTTCCTCTACTAAAAGTGTGCGGAACTCCACAACCAGGATCCTGCTTCTACCTCTATAAATACAACTGTAGGACCCACAGGCAAATGATCAGCCAGGTATCTCAGACATCTCAAAAAATGTGTTTCCTAAAGCAGAAGGGAGCTTAATTACGTAACATTTTCCCAAGGGCTAACCCCTTGAAGTTACCAAGAAAGTAAGGATCCTCCCATCCTTACAATGTCCCACCTGCGGTCACCGCCCTTATTTTTATTTATTTTTTTGCGGTACGCGGGCCTCTCACTGTTGTGGCCTCTCCCGTTGCGGAGCACAGGCTCCGGACGCGCAGGCTCAGCGGCCATGGCTCACGGGCCCAGCCGCTTCGCGGCATGTGGGATCCTCCCGGACCGGGGCACGAACCCGCGTCCCCTGCATCGGCAGGCGGACTCTCAACCACTGCGCCACCAGGGAAGCCCTCACCGCCCTTATTAAATGGGAGGGAGAGCTCTGGATTCAGAACGTCCCGGTGGCCTGGTGGTGTCAGGCATAGAAATAAGTAATCACTGAGGCTCTGAAATGTAAGAACTCATGGATCCGAAATAAATAAATAAATAAATAAATTAATTAATTACCTGATAGGTTTGCTACAATAATTAAAGCCAGTTAAAGTCTAAAAAAAAAAAAAAAAAAGAATCCACTGCTTTTTCTAATGGATATGATGACAAGTACCAGGTGTCTTAGAAGAACCAGACAAGGAAAGGGCAGGACTGCCTCTCAGAGGAAGTGACGTCATCATTTGCAGTGGGGACAGCAGTGGAGAGAGGACACTTGTGTGGTTGGAATCAGGTGGCCCGAGTTTCTGTCATGATGCCACCAGCTTATCATGTGACTGTTATAAACTTGTGTTTTTTTTAACCTTTGTGATCCCATTTCCACAGTTGTGAACTATTGTAATATTGTGATCTCTTGTGAAATTGTAATCTCTTACGAGGCTGTTAAGAAAATCAATTGAAGTAATTTTCTGAAAGGGTTACACTAAGTGTGAATGATTAACCGTGATGTTGGTTGCTCTTTTAGGCCGACAGGCGGATATCGTGGCTCCGAAATCCCGTTCATTACTTCACAGAAAGAGCAATACAAGGTGAAAGCACGCTCGGCTTGAACACAGACTGCCCCAGAGGGCACTACAGACCTGAACTTCATCTAAAAGCAAGAAGAGCTTCACTCCTAGTTCTGTCTTTATTTCTTGACCACAGAATGCATTGCTGAGGCCAAAGGGTGGCCCAACACACGTGGCTCTTGTTCCAGGAAGATAAGGAGGTGGGTTAGAGTGGATGCTCTCCTGTCTCTTCATCTCTCAAGGGCATTCATTTGTTTGAAGATCTTCTTTTGCATTTTCTGAAATAGTAAGAGCCTCTACTATAGGAGAGACCTAAAGAGTTAGACAGTGATGCTTAATCTTAGGTGTCAACTTGTCTGGGCGAAGGGGCGCCCAGCTAGCTGGGAAAATATTACCTCTGAGGATGTTTGTGTGGCGTTTCTGGAAGGGGTGAGCTTTTGTGTAGGTAGGTGAGTCAAGAAGATCCCTCTCACCACGCAGGTGAGTGTCAGCCCATCCAGGGCCTGAACAGCACAAAGGCAGAGGAGGGGTAAATCTGCTTGGGCTGGGACGTGCATCTCCTCTTGCCCTCGGACACTGGGGTTCCTAGTTCTCAGAATTTCAGACTCAGACTGAATTACACCCCCCTCCCCATCACTTTCCAGGGCATGCAGCTTGCAGACGGCAGACCGGGGGACATCTCAGCCTTCGTAATCACCTGGGCCAAATCCTATACTAAATCTGCTCTCAAGAAGGAATTTAGTTCTGCTTCTCTGGGGAAGGCTGGCTGATACGTGGACATAACTGTGGGGCAGCTCAGGCACTGGTGAGTTGTTGCTGTAGATGTGCCTTCAGTTCTTCTATTCCTGTCTTCTTGTCTCTCACATTCGCTTGTGACCAGTGGCAAACCACACAGGCAAGAGTCACTTTTGAATTGAAGCAGTGATCTCCATACACTTCCTTGGAAAACAGGAGAAAGGGTGATTTTTATATGTAAGCGTTCTGTGACTATAATAAGTACACAAATAGGATGTCAAGTGGGGAGAAGGGGTGAGTTTGAAGGTTATGAAGTCTTAAGTTTTAAGAAAGTCCAGAATCAGGTACTTGATGAAAATAAACTGTAAATTGCGTAATTGGGGGTCACATCTGTGATAAACTAAAGCTTATCCTTGGCATGAAAATAACTACGCAAGAACATTTCATATTCCCTAGAATCAAAGTGTGAAGCAAGGCTGCTATTCATTTCTCAGATAAATGTTTGTTTCACCCATGGTGAGGATAAAACCCGCTGATACATCACCAAAAAAAAGGCAGATTTCTTTTTAAGCAAGCAAAGCAAAAAGCAGCAGGAAGGAAACTCAGAGCTGCAGAATCAGATCAAGTAAGAATCTTACTGAAAAGTAACTGATTTTGTGAACACAGGGCAAGCAGCTCAGTGGAAAGCACATGGTATGCTGAAGTGCTGACACGTGAGCTTGTCTTATGAAAATGATAGAAAAACAATCTTGAACTATGAACTCGTGGAAACCGTTGCCCTTTGTGATGTTGCATAGGGATCTGCATTTTATATTCATTTGTTGACAAGGGTCTGAGACAAGTTCTAACATACTCCGCACCCCTCTTAAAAAGGGATATTTGAGTATGTTAAGTGGAAGACAGAACGCCAAGGGGGAAATGAATTCTTTTCTTAGAATTGTTAATAAGTTAGAATGCTTTAAAATGTGATGGCCAAATTCAAACTAAAATAATATAAAGATCTCGGTTAATAAGATACATTTGAGGCTTCCCTGGTGGCGCAGTGGTTAAGAGTCCGCCTGCCGATGCAGGGGACACGGGTTCGTGCCCCGGTCCGGGAAGATCCCACATGCCGCGGAGCGGCTGGGCCCGTGAGCCATGGCCGCTGAGCCTGCGCGTCCGGAGCCTGTGCTCCGCAACGGGAGAGGCCACAACAGTGAGAGGCCCACGTACTGCAAAAAAAAAAGATGCATTTGATATTGTCACCATAACTGCAGCCTAAGTAAGACATGCTTAAATAAATAGCTTTTGTGTGGAAGGGGATGGAGCCCTCCAGCAGCACAGCTGGGGCTCGTCTGTGCTGCTCCAGCGATGCTCAGTGGCTGAGATTTATGTGCTTATATATAGTGCCGGTCTCCGCTCCACACCTGCCTCTCCATGGGCCAGTCCTTCCATGGGGCGTCATTCCACAAGATGTGTGCGATTCCCTAAATGTGCATTGAGAGGTGCTGATTCTGGGTAGGTTTTTCGTTCAATGTAGGTTTTCTTCTTTTTCTTTTTAAAAAATTTTACTGGAGTATAGCCGATTTACACTGTTGTGTTAGTTTCGGGTGTACAGCAGAGTGACTCAGATACACGTACATATATACAAACATGCTTATGTATGTATATATGTATGTATGTATTCTTTTCCCTTATAGGTTATTACAAAATATTGACTAGAGTTCCCTGTGCTATATAGTAGGTCCTTGTTGGTTATCTATTTTATACATAATAGTGTGTATATGTCAGTCCCAAGCTCCTAATTTATCCTTCCACCCCGCATTTCCCCTTTGGTAATCGTAAGTTTGCTTTCGAGATCTGTGGGTCTGTGAATGTAAATTGATACAGTCACTATGGAGAACAGTATGGAGGTTCCTTAAAAAACTAAAAGTAGAGTTACCATGTAATCCAGCAATTTCACTCCTGGGCATATATCCGCAGAAAAGTATAATTCAAAAAGAGTCATGTACCACAATGTTCACAGCAGCACTATTCACAATTGCCAAGACATGGAAGCAACCTAAGTGTCCATCGACAGATGAATGGATAAAGAAGATGTGGTACATACATACAATGGAATATTACTCAGCCATAAAAAAGAATGAAATAATGCCATTTGCAGCAACATGGATGGACCTAGAGATCATCATACTGAGTGAAGTCAGTCAGACAGATATGATATTTCAACGTAGTTTTGGTTACATAGCAACTGCCCTAAAATGATGTTCTTCCTTGTGTTCACAACTGAAGGTAGGGTTATCGCAGTAGAAAGAGGATCTGGACTGTAGCACACCTGGGGGCTGCGAGTGTCAGGGGCATCAGAAGGAGAAACTCCTGCCACATTCTGGCCATGCGACTAACTCAGCGCGTCATGTGTAGACCGTGTTGTGGGTTTGTCGTCTCTTTAATTAGGGCAGCTCCAGTGTGTTGGAGACCAAAGCACTTGAACACTGATCTCCTTCCTTACTAATCATTCTGCACAGATGAAATGTTTTTAAAGGTGCTACATGGATGAGATCAGTGTAAAGTGAACATCAAACAGCCTTAAAAAGGAGAAAGAGGTCCATGTACAAATGTCCAAACACTGAGAAGATGTGGAAGGAAGTGTCTGATTTTTGGCTACTCTTGCTTTGCTGGTGGAATTTATAGTCAGGTAGATATGTGAGTGGTCAACATCACCTCTGTTATTTTATTACTTATTTATTAATTTATAAGAAGGTGACAGTGATGGAAACAGGTGGTTTGGTCTCGCGGGAGCATGCATTTTGAGGCAGGATTGGTGACATGAGGTGAGCAGGGGACAGTGACGCAGGCCGCATGCTGTGTGTAGCAGCTGGAAATGTCCCATGGACGTGGGACATAGACGTGAGTGGGTGGCCAGGGAAGGCTCTTGGGCATAGGGTGGTGTGTCCAGGTGTCCGTCTGAGGAAGACGCTCTGTCTACAGAATGGAGGTCAGGTGTGTGGGTGCGAGAGGTGGGGCATCCGAGCAGATGAGCAGGAACAATTGGCTGGTGGTGCAGGAGTCCTGGAAGGAGACCAGGAGGGACCCGCAAGCACCTGTTTCAGTTTGTTCTTGTCATAGCCCCTCCTTCGCTTGTGATAACCAGGGAGACTCCTCAGACTTTTCTAGACTTTGGAAAATAGTCCCCTGATGCCATTTACTCAAATTAGAAAAAACATTCTATTTAAGCCACTTTTGGTTCCTTACAGCCGTGTAATCCATTTAGGCAGATTGTTGACTGAATTCCCGTTATGTGCTGGGTACAAACCTGTGTCCTAAGATATATCCTGAGTAAGATTCACTTGGTCCCCGTGGCCACCAGGTGTACAGAGGGGGACTCGTGGAGGTGGAAGTATCAGAGGCATCACCGCAGCGGCAGGACACAGGTGAGCATCTGGGTGGCTGGAGGTGAGGGAGATGCGCATCTTATCTTGACTAAAGGGATCATGAAAAGATTCTGGAGGAATTAAGATCTAAAAATGGAGGAGCAGCAGGGATTAGCTGGGAACAGTGGGGCGAAGGGGAAGTTCAGGCAGAGGAAGGAGCAGGGACAGAGAGCCTGGCTCAGGTGGGAACCTGGAGATGGTCCAGCCCGGTGGCACCGAGAGCAGCTCAAGAGGGAGGATACAGGGGTGAGGTTCAGTGTGTGTGTGTGTGTGTGTGTGTGTGTGTGTGTGTGTGTGTGTTGTCAGAACACAGATTCCTTTGGGGCGGGAGGCTGGGTAATTGTTATAAGTTGTCCTGTCCCGGCCTCTTTGATATTCTATGTGTACATCAGTTCGGGAAGGCAGCCCAGGAGCTCCAGGTGCCAAGACTCAGCTACTTCTCGTGCATGTCCCGCTCTGGTCAGGGAGGCTGATGGCGGCAGAGTGTTTTACTGCTGGAAACTGGAGAGCTCAGCGCATCTGTGCATCTCTAATCCTGCAGACTATGAGCTCAGGAGGTACTTGACTGGCCCCTCTGCGAGCCTTGCTTGGGGCTTCCCAGACTGCAGCCACAGAACATTGAAGACATCATCTCTGGATAGACAGATGGCATATAGACAGACAGAGCCTATGGGGCATATATAGGATGGGCCAAAAAGTTCGCGTGGGCTTCTCTGTAACATTTTACGCAAAAACCCAAGCAAACATTTTGGCCAACCCAGTATATGCACGGATGGCATCTGTATGGACAGACATGGAATATAGGACATGTACATGTATGGATGGCATCTGTATGGACAGGTACAGTAGATAGGGCATATATATATGTGTGCATGACATTCATATGGACAGGTACAGCATATAGGAATCAGGTAGGATGCCAAGTCTCTTCTCAAAATGTGTGTGAAAGGGGGTAGATGTCCTGGTAGGATAACCATTCTTAAACTCAGGGGAAGATGACTCTTTGCAGGTCCCTCATCTTAGATTTCTATAAAGAATAACACACTCCGTGTCCATACAAAACCTGCTACCTGGGCCTGTTTTCTCCCACGATGATTAAACTGTAAGCTATGGCGGTGGCTGCTAGCCTTTGTTAGGGACCTGAGGAAGAACTCAGGGGGCTCTTTGATTTCTACACGACAGTACCTTTGACTCTTCAGATCTTCCTCTAGTGGTAAGTTTTGCTCCTACCAACAGCTAGAGTAATTGCTGCGCACAACCGTATCCTGCTCTGGGCTGAGAAAAGCAATCTGTGTTCTCATGTCCACCTGTACGGCAGGATCTGGTGTCAGAACTGAAAGGGTGCTTGCTCCCTTTGAGTTGATCTTGGTGTTTCAGATAATAGCAATCTATAGATTAATGTTTTTAAATTATACATGCTAACTGTTTTACTAAACAAATACAACTGCATACGGTCAAATTTTCATATTTTAGATTTGTCAGGTGGGCATGCCTCGTGGTCTCGCGTGTTCTGTAGACTTTGTGTATGTTTTACTGCGTTCTTCCTATGTTCCGCATTTCCATTTAGGAATAACAGCTTGTAGACAGGAACCAACATTAACATTGATGGATCTCATTATCTGATGTCACTGATGTAGTTGTTTCACCTGTTTGGGGTCTA